TAGAGCCGGCAGAAGAGCTGTTGCCAGAGCTAGAGTCGGAGCTAGAGCCGGCAGAAGAGCCATTGCCAGAGCTAGAGCCAGCAGAGCCGGAGGTAAAGCCAGCAGAAGAGCCATTGCCAGAGCTAGAGCCAGCAGAGCTACTACCAGAGGTGGCGCTGGAGCCGGAGCCGGCAGAAGAGCTGTTGCCAGAGGTGGAACTGGATACAGAGCCGGCAGAAGAGCCATTGCCAGAGCTAGAGCCGAAGCCGATTCCAGCAGAAGAACCAGTAGAGGAATCAGGGCCTGAGCCGGCATGGGAACCACCAGAGTTGCTAGTGACAGTGCCAGAAGAAACACCCGAATCGGAGCCAGAATTGGAGCCAGAAATAGAGCCCGAGCCTGAAACAACGCCGGACCCAGATGAGGAGCCAGAGGCCGCACTGGAGCCAGAAGTCGACCCAACGCTGGCCGTCGGAAGGGCTGTGGCTGTCGAGACACCACTAATGCCGTGGGCCGTTGCAGAAGCAGTCACGGGGCACACAGTCGTTGAGACGACCAAAGTCTCGGTAGTAACAAAAGTGCTCTTTGCGGAAGCGGGGCAGTTAGGGACGGTGGAAGGGCACGCCGTGATGGTTGCAGTACGAGTACTGAAGACAGTAGAGGTAGTGCTTTGGCCCTCTTCACCGCCTGGCAGACCAGTATTAGATCCTCCTGTAAGCGAGGGACCAGTGGTAGGTTGAGCCTGGGTCATTGTGACAGGGCAGATAGTTGTAGAGACCACCAGAGTCTCGGTTGTCACAAAAGTACTCTTTGCAGAGGCAGGACAGTCCGTCACACTCGATGGGCAAGCGGTGATGGTTGCAGTGCGAGTGCTGAGAATGGTTGATGTAGTGCTTCCGCCCTCCGTTCCGCTCGAGTCGCCCTGGCCAGAAGTTCCAGTGATTGTCACGATAGCAGGTGGCTGAGTTTGGGATGCTCTTGTGGAGCAGATTGTCTCCGAGACGGTCATAGTCTCGGTGACGTAAGTTGTTCTTCTTGTGGAGGGAGCACCAGAAGCGATGACACCGCTGCTGGAGGAGGCAAGTGGCGCGGCGGAAGAGGCTGCAATAACAGCAACGGAGGAAGAAGAAAAGACTGGAGACGCCGAGGAGACTGGGGAAATAACGGCCACAGAGCTGGGTGCAGAAATAGCAGTCTGAGAGCTCAAAGCAGACACAGGGGCTGAAGAAACAGACAGAGTCACTGCTCCGCTTGAAGAAGGAACAAAGACTGCGATGGTCGAGAAAGGAGAGACGGCGAGGGTAGAAGGACGTTGAGTCAGAGAGCTGACGACGGCAGATGAAGAGCTGATTCTCGAAACAACAGCACCAGATGTAGCAGCAACGCTGGGCGAAGTAGCAACGCTGGACGGTGCAACAGCGCTGGCGGAAGATGCAGTGCTAAGAGAAGGTACAATCACTGAGACCTGCGAGGAAGGTGTGCGGCTGCTGGTAATCACCACTGGTGTCACAGCCGATGGCGTGGGGGAAGTAACCATCGACGATGAAAGCACAGACGGAGATGACACTTGCAAGGAGGATGTCTGAATTGCAGTGGTGGTTGGAATCACGGTGGATGTTGGGGCTTGCGTAGGGGTAAGCGTGATGGTCTGGGTCGAACAGGAGGTGACCGCAGGTCCAACAAATTGTACGTTGTCCAAATCGATAGCGGCTCCAGTATACAGGGTGGTGCCGGTACAATAGCCATAGATCTCAAATGTGTGTGTTCCGGCGGTGGTGGGAGTATAGCTGAACGAAAGAGTATCCCAACCAACGGTGCTTGAAGAGACAGACTGGGTGGCACTCCCGAGGAGGCCGGCTGTGGTGAACGAGTCCATGTACGCCTTGATGTAACAAGTCATGCTGGCGTGAGCGCTAGTCGGCTTGATGCGATATTGGAATGATCCGGTATACTGGCCATTCGTAATGAACGTGCTACTTCTCTGGTATAGTAGGACAGTCACCGATGTGCTGGTCGCGCTCGTCTCACTATCACAGTGTTAGCATGCAACCAAGCGTTAAAGATCCTCAAGAACCGTCGTTACTCACACATATGAAGAGCCGTCGGCTGCATCGCCCGAGACAACATTGCCAGAGGTTCCCGAGGCAAATCCCCAGCCGGTGATACCACTTTCAAATGACGGGTTCGAAAAGGGATTGGGCGTTGATGTCGCGCATGTCACCACCTCGGTCTCTTCAGCGGACGCACCGGGAAGAAAGGAGCGCGAAAGCAACAGAAGCGAAACGAGAGACGGTAAGCGAGGCATCGTGAAAAGCGAGTGTGTATCTGAACAAGAAAGAAAACGAAGCAGAAAGGACCGTCGGTCGGCTCGTCCACCTGACAGGTGAAGTCAGAGGGGACAGCAAACAGAAGAACGAGAGACCGGTGAAGAGAAAGAAGGAGGGAGTGATTAGATCAGGGAATGAATAGACGGCTTTTAAGAGATGAAGCCGGCGAAAGGTCCAAATCCATCCCATCGCCGTCGTCCTAAGCTAGGCCGTTTAAGCCTCTATTATACGAGAGCTGAAAATAGCCAGGCAAGAAAGGCCGAGCTGCGGCTGAAGATGATTGAGCGGTTCAGGGGATTCAGTCGATTCAGTCGATTCAGTCATGGTGGCCAAAAAGCCTCTTGCATAGTCCCGGACGCTAATCTCCACATTCAACAGATTGTAGACATCTTAGCCGAGATAGCTTGTGGCTAGACTGCAGCTGAGAGCTTGGGGAGCCTGAAAGTCTCTCGATCTGGAAGAAAAAAGTGGGACAACCTTTCCTTAGCGTCCCTTTTCAGGGACAAATCTGGCGAGCAAA